ACTTAAGTTTGAGGAAATGAACAATGTACCAGCCATTCACGGTGACCTTGAAAACATTCTTGGTTAAGCTTTTTAACGGCGATGACTAAATCGGTTTCGGGTCTAGTCGGACTGAGATTGGTTTTTGGCCGTTAATAAGAGCTTCCCTCCATTCCTTCAGTCAGTCACGCCTTTCTTTTCGGCTTTTGCTTCAGTCTCTTCTTTTCGTCCTTTCAGGTGGCATTTCGCTTAGTCTTGTCATTCATTCCGTCCTTTGGGAATCAAGTAAATCATAGTTCTTTTACTTACTGTCTTCTTTCTAAGTCTTACTATCTTCTCTCTTTACTATTGCTTCTTTTTCTTTTCTTCCTATAAAATGTTCCTCAATAGCACTGATATCAGCAAGTGAAGGATTGGAACTTGATAGAATGCCCCACCCGGGCTTATCGATTGATAGAAAAGTATATAATCAGAAGGCTGCTTAGAGGAGTGATATGTTCATCTAACTCAAAATCTTGTAAGAAGAAGAATCTTACACCCAAAAATCCCATCTCTTTTTTCTTGGTTGGACAAACCGGCACCAGCCATTTCCATCTTCCTTAATTGGGAGAGTCAGAATCAGTCTCTCTTTGTTTGGGGGGGAGCGTGGGGGGTGTGCTGTCCCTATTGGAGGAACCCCTTCCCCACAAGGCCCCACCGTCAGGGCATAAGCGCCCTCTTGCTACCCATATGCGAGGCGCCGTCTTAGCCTTCCCTGACAGGATCGCTCCCACACCTGTAGCGTTCGTGATATGTGCTGCCCCAAGACAATGGTACAAGGAGCTCCTTTATGGCGGATACTTCAAGAAAACCATTAATGACCATTGTGCCTTCATAAAAAGGTACGTTAGCGATGACTTTCTCATACTTTTGCTTTATGTCGATGATTGATTGTGGGCCATGACCGCACCAAGATAACCGCTCTAAAGAAAGATTGGAACAAGTGCTTTGCCATGAAAGTGGGGCCGGCAAAACATTGGGATGAAGATCACTCGTGATAGATCGAGAAACCTGTTATCCTAAGAACGATCTGTTGGGTGGAGAGATTCAATATACACAAGGCAAAGCCTACTTGCTGGACATTTCAAATTAAGCTTGAAGATAAGTTTTGTACTCTATTAATTTCTCAGTCCCTCTAGTCGGGTGGGCGCCGGCCAGTCTTTCGGCCAGATCCCCCTAAAAACCGTACGTGTGGGTCTCTCCGCATGCGGCTCATGCCATTCGAGATGGCCTAGCCTAGCATTCATTCACAAATCATATAGTGAAATTGAGACTGCTCGACCTTGGGAGCTAATTCGCGTGTAGGCAGCGCTGTTTGTCGTACGGTTGACTTTATCATCTATTCATTGAATAATTGACTTTCTTACATTTTATATATAGGCTCGCTCCCTCTTTTTCCAAGAATTCATTCACNTCCCTTAACTTCATAGGGCTTTCTATAAGAGGGGTTCCTCCTTCCATTTCCGTCAAATGACCCGGNCTCCCCTNGCTCTTCNACCGTCCGGGATCCCTTTCCCCCTATGCTCACCCGGCGCAGGCCTACCACGCTTCGCGCCTGCGGCGTTTTCGCCAGNCGGTCTTTGCCTGTAGTGCCATCCTCCCCACTGGCTGTATGGGAATATCTCTCCTCTCCTTTCATTCGAGTTCCTAAAGCCCCTCGACGCTGCCTTCTGTTAGGCTATAGATTACAGGAACAAATGTAGTTGAATGANACAGCAGGCGGGTTACACGTTCCACTACGCCAAGATGTGATGATGATCACCCCGGGGTATGCGCTAGCGCCCTTGACAGGCACTCCAGGACCCGCCAACGCTCATGAAACCCGGGTCGGGCGGTCCTCCATTCATCCGACCAGAGGTGTGGATAACGANGCCACCTTCACAACCTTCTCCCCTCTGTCCCTATGTTGTAGTAAGGTAGGGCGGTTCGCTTGAGTTGCTCAACCGCCCCTCTCGCAACAAAACAAGTGCTCCTCATCTAACCAACCTTTAAAGACAACCAAAGCCACTTTCTCCGATCACATTGTCCGGTCTAAAGTTTCTAGTAGCGAACTTGAACTCGTTGAAGGTAAAGCTCTTAGAACAAACGTCGAAAAGTTACCA